TGGCTGGGAAAAAAAAAAAGTGAATCCTGATTTTCCGTAAGGGAAACCTTGGTTCCACCATGCCTTTGTTTTTATCATAACAGGAAATTTGAGGGAGCTCTGATTTGAGGGAGCTCTGAGTCACCTTCCCTAGGCGGCTTCAGGGTCAGTTCTTCTAGTGAGGGGAAAACTCCATGAAGAATACTTAAAAGAAATCGGATTCATTTATGTAATAATATATATTTATATATACAGTTGATACAGTCTATTCTCAAACCACATGCCATCAAAATTGATGTTTAAAATGTCTTCTTTACTCCTTCCCTCCCAAATTTAAATAATAATTCACTAATATCTCCAGAAATCTTTTTTTTTTTTTTGGGATGGAGTCTCACTGCGATGCCCAGGCTGGAGTGCAATGGCATGATCTCGGCTCCCTGCAACCTCTGCTTCCCAGGTTTGAGTGATTCTCCTGCCTCTGCCTCCCAATTAGCTGCGACTACAGGCATGTGCCACCATGCCTGGCTAAATTTTTTGTATCTTTGGTGGAGACAGGCTTTCACCATGTTGTCCACACTGATCTGGAACTCCTGATCTGTCTGCCTTGGCCTCCTGAAGTGCTGGGATTACAGGCGCAAGCCACTGCACCCAGCCCAGAATGTATTTTTTAGACAATCATTTAGCTTTCTCTGCTTCAGGCACTGTCTTAGATGCTTTAGTATTATCTCATTTAATCTTCGCAGTAAGCTATGAAGCTGGTACTGTCTTTATACCCATTTGACAGATGAAGAAATTGAGACAAAGAGGTGAAGTAACTTGCCCTTTGTCACACAGCTGGTGAGGAGCTGCAGAGTCCATGCCCTAAACCACGAGGCTATGCTGCCTCAGAGAATGGAACAGAGACACAGAGGCACACAAATGGAAGCTCTGAAATGACAACAGGAGAATTCCTCAGGCGTCCTGTCCTTGCTCTCTGGATACCACCGGGAAACCATCAGGGAATAACTGTGTCTTTTCCATAGCCTGAAAAAGCTCATAGGAACAATCTAGCTCACACAGTTTATACAAGAAGGAGGTTCAGCTAATCTCCAAATATTAATCATGTAAAAATAGACCCAAATGAAAGTGATCATTTCTGGTGAATGTGAATGAGAACTTTGAAAAGGCAGATGGAGTTACAAAGAGTGGTTACAAAATGTCCCCTATGTATGTAGTGGTCTGTGCAGAAAAGAAGGCAACACGGCTATCAATGTGGAGCTAGAGGAAAGTGAGGACAGGAGGAGCTTGTTTCGTCCCACTGGGACGCATCGCAGAGGGTGGAAGAGGCCATGTTCACCCAGGGGTTGGTCAGCAGGGGAGCAGGCCCCACTGGGAATGGCCGGTGCTCAGAAAGGAGAGAGACTGGGAAAGTAAGAACAAGGAGTCAGATGGTGACTCAGCAGCAGGCACTTGGAGGGAAGCCAGGCAGGCAATTAGCATCAAGAAGGCTTAGCAGGCCTTAGACAGGGTTCTAGGGAGCTAGGCAGAGAAAATATCTGAGAGCTCCAGGAAGGCAGCCAAGACTCAGGCATGAAAGGCCAGACAGGGACTCGCTGCTGGAGTGGGAGGATACAGTGAAGGGAATGAGAGAAGATTCCAGAAGCAGGGGTATAAGATCAGAGAAGAATCAAAAACATAACCTGAATGCATGCTGAGATTCTGTGCTACCTACTCAGCTCCCAGCATTTCCCTGAGTAGGAATAACTCTGGTCTTAGCATTGCACCCTACAGGTTCCCGGGAGGAGGGGATAAGAAGAGACTGTTGCAGGAGCAGCTCTGCCTGACACCTCACTCATCCATTTCCCCGGCACCCTCCCTTGTCGGCCATTTTTTGGAATTTCCTTCTTGTCGGGTAGGGACCCGGTCTTTTTGATCAAGCCATTGAGGTGAAGGAAACCAGGGTATTTATCCTGTATTTGAACCATGATGGCTTTTGGGCTGCATGTAAAGCTTGAGCCCAGTTATCTATAACGTGTGGCATGGAAGAAATTGCCCATTGACCGTGTTTCCATTTGTTCCACTTGTTCCTTTGTCTGGACTAGGCAGCCTACAGGAGGCCAACACTGCCATCTAGTGGCATATCCAGGCTTCTCTCCAGGAACTGGATCTTGAATTGTAGAGACACAAGCCTGGCTCTTTATCCTCTGCTGTCCAGCTCATGGGTCTGATGGTAACCTGCCCCAGGGGGCAGTGGGTCTTGTATCTGGGTGGCATGCTGGGCTGTTTGCAACTACAGCTTCAGGCGCCTTCTGCTCTAACAGTCTGCAAAAGGACTACACTCATCCCTGGACCCAACCATGTCGCCCGCTGCAAGTTGCATCCCCGGCCATGTGTGAGCTTGGCCTCAAGAAGCAACCCTGAGCCCCTGGCATTGTTGCAGAGGAGCAGCTCCACTGAGACACAGAAGCTCAGTGATAGAGAGTCTCTCAGTGAGAAAGAATTTCAGTCATCTAGGCCAGCATTCTACAGAGTCCATTAGTGAGGTGGAATCAATTTAGTGGGATGCCAACAGCAATTGAGAAAAACATAAAATAGAATGTCAGAGTGGAACTTGTGTTTCAGTGATATATCTATTCACATGTAATGTTCTCTTGTCAAAATATGAAATGTATTTCTTACAGAGCACCCTGGGATCTGAATCCCAGCACTTTGGGATACTGAAACGGGAAGCCCAGGAGTTTAAGACAAGCATAGTAAGACCATGTTTCCACCAAAAAATTTCAAAATTAGCTGGGTGTGGTGCTGCACACCTATGGTCCCAGCTACTCAGGAGGCTGAGGTGGGAGGATCACTTGAGCCAGAGAGGTAGAGACTGTAGTGAGCCAAGATTGCATCACTGCATTTCAGCCTGTGTCAGAAAGAGACCCTGTCTGGGGCAGTGGAAGGCATTCCTGGACCCGTACCCAGACCTGCTGAACCATGATGTGTGACTGGGAGGTGGAGCAAGAGAAGGACCCACCTAGGGAATCTTCATTTTATAAGCTTTTTACATTATTTTTATGTACATTCAATGGCCAGCCACTGATACTGACATTTCTGAGCTTGAATTTCCTGATGTATGAGGAGGAAATGATAGTACCACCTTGTTACTGTGAGGACCAAATGGATAATTAATGTAGAGGTATTTTGCTAACTGTAAAAGCACTCTAGAGATTCGAAGTATCTCCATCCCACAACATCCTTCTCTATATGATGTTTTTAAGGAGGATAGGCACCAGGAGAGTGGGGGTGGGGGAGGGGAGGACTGTGCCTTTAATGGAACCAGGAAAGTTAAACGGAAAAAATGTTGTTTTATTCTGTCTCCTGCCACCTTCTACCTTCTGTCCTGCAGATTTCCTGATCTGATCCCAGTGGTGGTCCTATGACTCCCTGCCCTGTGACTGGTGGTGATGCTTGTTGCCAACATCAGTCTGATGCATTATTTTAACATTTTCATGCTGAACTTTTGGTCCTGGTGGGACTGTTAATTCTCTACTCACTGTGACATTCACTGTGTGTGCCATTGGGCAGAAGCTTCCCAGAATGTGTGTGAGATGGCTACACAACATATTTGGACTAGTGCATTAATATGGCCACTGGTGCAGAACATTTGGGCCCCGAAGGCTTAAATCAGAGATGCACAGACTGAAGTCGAGTTCCCTGGAGGTGGGGCAGGGATTTTGCCTCCAAACTGCTGTTTGGGCTGCACTTTAGAGGATAACAGGCTAGCAAGCTGGGCCTTTCAGCCTCCTCCTTCCTTCCCTTCCCTGCCTGTCACTCTTCCCCTAAGGGCAGCTGCTCTTCCAAGAGGGAGACTGTGCTTAGTTCTAGGAGACAAACTAATAACCAAATAGGTTCTCATGGCAATATGAAGCCAGAGGAAAGGGAGGAAGTGGGGCCGAAATCCCCAGGGTGAAAAAGTGAGCAGTCTCAGCATTCAGCCAGTAGGGATTGCTCCTGTCAACCCATTTTATTGGTTCTGTCCCAGGATCAGTGCAGTAGGAAAATGCCAGTGTGGCGCATAGCCAGCATGGAGCATGAGGGGTTGGAGACTGTTCCTATGTGGGAAGTGGCCCCTCCTCCCTTCTCACTCTTCCTCCTGGTCCCCAGTGGCTGAGGCTTTGAGGCTCTTCTCCTCCCAGACAGACATCGCTTTACTTCTGCCTTTGAGTTGAAGCCCCATTCTTTTTGTAGTCCTCATAGCCTCAATTTTAGGCTGACGGTTCCAGTAGGGAATGGGGATGGGAGGTGTTGCAGGGGTTAGAAGGAAGGAAGGTTCCCTCTTCCATTATTTCCTATCAACTAGTGAGAATCTAGTGCAGGCGTCCCCAAACTACGGCCCGCGGGGCCGCATGTGGCCCCCTGAGGCCATTTATCCGGCCCCCCCGCCGCACTTCAGGAAGGGGCACCTCTTTTATTGGTGGTCAGTGAGACGAGCACAGTATGTGGCGGCCCTCCAACGGTCTGAGGGACAGTGAACTGGCCCCCTGTGTAAAAAGTTTGGGGACGCCTGATCTAGTGGGAGGGGTGAGTTGAAATAGATGCCTATACAATAGGAGTCTGAGGGATGGTAGGCAGGGCAGAGACAGGGCACAGGGTAGAACCCCTGGAAGGGGTAAAGGGGCATACAGGGAAGGGGTTTAATGGCACAATTAGCTGAAGCTTGGCAAGGGACTAATGAGCTCTAACGCAGCAAGAGGAATTAGAATCAAAGCCCTGGTTCTGGGCAGCCTTCAGACTGTGGCTGCAGCTCGAAAGCCTGAGTGATTGAATAGCACTGTGCTAATTACATTTTTTCTTCTTTTCTTTTCTGTTCTCAACTCTCCTTTTCATCCTCTGCCATCTCCCCACCCTGCACACCATTTTCACTCTTTTGTCCCTTTTTCTTCCTCCTCACCTCTGCTCTCACACATCCTTCGTCCCCTCTCACCACCCTCCTCCCACATTTCTCCTCCTTCCTCCATGCCCTCCCGTTCTACACCCTCCACCACCACCCACCAAAGCTCTCTGGTGGATGTGAGCTGACCGTGGTCCTCCAGGACTTCAGTGCTGGCCACAGCACCGAGCTGACCATCCAGGTGGGGCAGACGGTGGAGCTGCTGGAGCGGCCCAGCGAGCGGCCCGGTTGGTGTCTGGTCCGTACCACGGAACGAAGCCCGCCCCTGGAGGGCCTGGTCCCCAGCAGTGCCCTGTGCATCTCACACTCCCGAAGCAGCGTGGAGATGGACTGCTTCTTCCCCTTGGTGAAAGGTAGGAGAACAGAGTGGGCGGGAAGCACAGACCAAGGAGGCCATGAATGCTGGCCTGAATCCAACGGAAGGCCACCATGGAAACAGCCTGTCTCATGGACCCATTTTGACCCTGTGGGGTTTCTTTGGGACCCGATTGTGAAAAGAATGGGTTGGGAACTTGGAGAGCAAGAGCTACCAAGTAACTGCGTGTGACTTTGGGAAAGTCATTTAGCCTTCCTAAGTCAGTTTCATCTTAGAAGTGAAGGTTGAATGAGATAACCTCTAAGATCTCTTACAGCTTCCCCAGGGTATCACACTCCATTCAGAAAAGTCCTTTTCTACCTTTGGCCAAATTATCTTCCTTTCTCCACTGACCTACTCCCCCTCCACAGCAACTTCTGGCTCTCTGACCCTCCACCAGGTACTCTCATGCTGACCTGGAAAATACCAGGCAGACCCAGGGAGGAGCCACAACGGAGTCAGAGCTGATCCTGCCCTCAGCCCTGCTAGGGTTTGAGGTCCACGGCTCCTTTATGTGCCTTCAACAGATAAAGTATTCCAGCCTCGGCTTTTATTGTATAGAAGCTCTGTGTTCCCTTCATATGCCTGTTTTCTCTTTTTCTCACACCAGGGAGACTAAATTCCTCATGACAGTGGTTCTTCAGGGGTGGTCTCTGGGTTAGTAATATCAGCATGCCCTGCAAACCTGTTAGAAATGCAGATGCCAGCCTGGCAACATAGTGAGATGCTGCCTCTACAAAAATTTTAAAATGCAAGGTGGTGCATACCTGTAGTCCCAGCTACTTGAGGGGCTGAGGCAGGAGAATCACTTGAACCCGGGAGGCTGAGGTTATGATGAGAGTGCAGTGAGCTAAGATCGTGCCACTGCACTCCAGCCTGGGCAACAGAGTGAGACTCTGTCTCAACAACAACAACAACAACAACAATTTAAAAATTAGCTGGGCATGGTAGTGTGCACTTGTAGTCCCAGCTACTCTGGGCAGGGTGAGGCAGGAGGATCACTTGAGCCCAGGAGTTTCAGGGTGCAGTGAGCTATGATTGCACCACTGCACTCCAGCCTGACTGACAGAGCAAGACCCCACCTCTAAAAATAAAAAAAAAAAGCCAGGTACATGTCTCACACCTGTAATCCCAACACTTTGGGAAGCTGAGGAGGGAGGCTGGCTTGAGGCCAGGAGTTTGAGACCTGCCAGGGCAACGTAGTGAGACCCCATCTCTATAGGCATGGTAGTGCATGAGTAGTCCCAGTTACTCAATGGGGGACTGAGGTACTTGAGTCTGGGAGGACAAGACTGCAGTGACCATGCTCACACTGCTGCACTCCAGCCTGGGTGACAGCAAGGTCCTGCCTCAAAAAAAAGGTTTTTTAAAATTTAATTTTTAAATTAATTTTTTAAATTTAATTTTTAAAAAGAAATACAAATGATCAGAACTCCTGCCCCTCCAGAGCTGGTGGGGCCCATCAAGCCCTCCAGGTGGCTCTGACGCACATTTGAGCTTGAGATCCACTGACTTCAGAAGTCCAAGTGGCAGAGGGCTTGCAGCCAAGCATTTTACACTGAGGAAGCCGAGGGATGCAGAGCCAGGTCTTAGTTCTGGACTTATTTTTGTAACTGGCTAGATAATCAGCATCAGGGATGCCTTCTGTGCAGAGCTGTGCTAGATCATTCTTGGGAGGAAGATGGGGACAAGAGTCAGCATGGAGACCTGCTGCAGGTATCCTGATAGTTGCTATGAACTTAGTACATGTTTAAAACGGTCTGGTGTCTGGAGTGCCATCTGGTCTACCTCCGAAGCCTGACTTCCTTTCCTCCACTAGATGGCAGCAGCGGGCTGCACTGTTTGTGCTACATCCAGCCTTCCAGGGTTTTTTCCACTCGGAGAAAAATGTCAGCTGACACCGACCCCCTGATTCTCCTCCTGCCCTCCACTCCCAATTTAGTCATTGCCTGCTTTCCCCGCTGTCCTCTGAGGACTAAGGAGGGACTGTGTCAAGAAGTTGTGTGGGAATTTGAAATTGCGAGCACAAGAGGAAAATCAAGGGAACTCAGGAATCTGGTTCTGCTTGAAGTCTAGCCAAGAGGAGAACAGGTACACAGGAGGTAGATTATTGTGAGCGTAAAATGAGGTAATGGAGTCAGCAGTGCCTGGCCTTTAATGCACCTTAGTTGTCATGATATGTTTTTGCTCTTATATCATTTGCCATAGATTATCCAGCAAAATAACTACACACTGCCGCAAGTCCAGTTAAGAGACCCATCTGCACAGCAATTCATTTGCCAAGAAAGGCTAGTGTTCCTTGGATCCCCATGTGTGGGTTGTTTTCATCAGGAGGGACTCAGCTTCAAGGGAAGACTGGAAACTTCCTGACCTAGGCCTGGCCGCCCTAGCCCGAGGCTGGGTAAAATGTGCACTCCCTTGCTGCTGGGGCTGCCACATGTACACCTTGGTAGTAGGAAACCCAAGATGGAAAATTAGAGAGCAGTGTCAGAGTCAATCTGTGATCCCAAGGCGGGAGGTGGAAGCATTCAGGGTGAGAACTGCACAGGACTGGGGGTTCTCTCTACCATAGGACAGATTAGTGGAGATTTAACTAAAAATAGGAGCTGAGGACCAGGGATGGAAAACAGAGACAAGAGACAGACCTGGGAGGGAGGCTGTCATAGAACTTTCCACTTCACTCTGCCAACCAGCATGGCTTCTTAAAGGTACCAGCAGTGCCTATCACCCATTTCCTTGGCTCTTTTTATTTCCAGGTTGGTATTTCCGCAAGCTTAGGCCAGTTATGCTGAGCCTTCAAATGGCAACCTGTGGGGTCTCACTGTCTTCTTACCCACGCGGGCTCCAGATACAGAGGTGCCCAACTCCCAGTAGTCAACGACCTAAGTCAGCCAGGCGCAGTGGCTCATTCCTGTAATCCCAGCACTTCGGGAGTCTGAGGCAGGTGGATTTCTCAGGCTTGGGAGTTCAAAACCAGCCTGGGAAACATGGCAAAACCCTGTCACTACAAAAAATAAAATAAAAATTAGCCAGGCAGGGTGGTGTGCAACTACATAGTCCCAGCTACTTGGCAGGCTAAGGTGGGCGGATCACCTGATCCCGGGAGGCTGAGGCTGCAGTGAGCCATGATCACATCACTGTACTCCAGCCTGGGTGACAGAGTAAGACCCTGTCAAAAAAAAAAAAAAAAAAAGGAGGGGGGACGTAAGTCTGCATTCTCCATGGACCATTCCTTATGCCCTTATGCCCTTTGCACATGCCACAGCCTCAAAGCCCTTTCCTTCTCTCTTTGGAGTGTGCCCAGAGCGCTGGCCTTAGCCAAGACCCAATAAGCTGTTCCTTCTCCTATTCCAGCTGGCTGCCTGCTGGCAAACCGCCTTTTCTTTTCTCAGCAGTAATTTGTCTCCAGTGGGTGCTTTACCTTATAAGTTATGCACAGCTAGATTGAGAATAAAACATTCCTCTGTGGAATAGGACAGAATGGTCTCACCTGGTGTCAGGGAGGTTGGAATCAATTCCTTTTTCAATTCCTCTAAGAGAACTAAGAGAACTGACCCTCTTAGCACTTGCAGTGGGCACCGAGTCAGCACTCTCACGGGCTGTGTGAGCAGGGACTTTGTGATGGCTGAGCACCTCGTGAGTGCTCAGGCCATGACTGTCACCCCAGAAATGGCAACAAAAGAACCACAGGATGGTTCTTGATAATCCACAAGACCAGGGTTCTCAACCCCGGCTGCCCATGAGAATCATCTGGGAGCTTTTCCAAATGACAATGTCCAGACCACTCTAGAACCAATGGAATCAGAATCTCTGGATGGGGCCTGAAGCTCAGTATTTTTAAGTGTTTCGTAGGTGACTCTAAGATGCAGTTAGGGTTGAGAACCACTGCACTAGCCTGCTCTCCTCTCTTCCAGGAATACGCTCAGGCTCAGGAAAGCAAGGTGACCTCCCAAAGCCACAGGGAAGTCTGTGGCCAAGCTGGCACAGACCAGGGCTCCCAGCACCTGTTGAGCTTCTGGTAGTGTTGGGGGCTCCTCTCTGACCTTTCCTCCTCTGCCTTCTATGGGAGTAGTGGTTGGTTATTTCCTCCTGATATGTCTGTGGTGTCACTCATGATGGGGTTGGTGACAAAGAGTGGGGCTGTGTGACACAATTGGGAAAGGGCTGCCTTTCCTGATACTTTAGTGCCACCCTGACATCTTAGGGCTTTTCACTGGGATTGGGCCCTCCAGCGCTCATCCCACATTTCCAGTCTCTTCTCATTTTCACAGCAGCATGTGGTGGAGGGCAGCACCTCCCAAGAGACAAGCCTTTGTAGCAGGGCTTTCCAACTCTGGATGTACCTTAGAAACCATCTGGAGGAGGTTTCTAAAAATACTGGTGCCTCACACCCACCCAGAACAATTAATCCAGCTGCTAAGGATGTGGACATCAGTATATGTTTAAAGTTCCTTCTTGGAAAAAAAAAAAAAAAAATTAGCTGGGCATATTAGCATGCACCTGTAGTCCCAACTACTCAGGAGGCTGCAGTGAGAGGATTGCTTGAGCCTGGTGTTCAAGGCTATAGTGAGCTGTGTTCATGCCACTGCACTCCAGCCTGGGCAAAAGAACAAGACCCTGTCTCAGGAAAAAAACAAAACAAAAAACGTTGCAGCCAAGCGCAGTGGCTCACGCCTGTAATCCCAGCACTTTGGGAGGCCAAGGCGGGTGGATCATGAGGTCAGGAGATCGGGACCATCCTGGCTAACATGGTGAAACCCTGTCTCTACTAAAAATACAAGCTGGGCGTGGTGGCAGGCACCTTTATTCCCAGCTACTTGGGAGGCCGAGGCAGGAGAATTGCTTGAACCAGGGAGTTGGAGGTTGCAGTGAGCTAAGATCACACCATTGCACTCCAGCCTGGTGACAGAGTGAGACTCCAGCTCAAAAGAAAAAAAAAGTTACTCAGTGATTCTGATGTTCCTTTAGGGTTGAGAACCACTGCTTTGTGGACTCAGC